AATGTAGTTATTTGACTTTGTTCTCTCCGGCGGCAGGTCTGAGTCTTTTATTTAATGTGATATGGTCTGGTGGTCTTTTTTGTTCTGTACACATTTTGTTAACCTCTGCTCAAAAGAAAACAAATGTTTGCAATGTATTAACCTTACAGAAAACTCTTTTCTAGAACAACTAGAACAAAGAAGCAGAAACATTAATAAAAAGGTCATCCATCAGGAAAAAATAAAACCTTTAAATGTTGCATAACAAAGAATAAACATTTATATTATACAAATATCAAAATCAAGGAGGGGATAAAAATGTCGTAAAAAAGTAATTGTGATATGGCATAAAAAAAAAAGTAGAATTAAAGGTAAGCCATAAAAAGTGTCTTGTTCTAAACATTCAAGTCTTGAAAAATGCCAGAAAGAAAATTCAAAACTTAAACAAAAAATAAATACAAATATTCATAATAATATGCCTTAAAAAAGTAATAGTATGTTATCCTAAAGGCCCTGGTATAATAAAGATGACATAACGCAGTGGTTCTCAACTGGTCAGGCCTCGGGACCCACTTTTTACTTGGTCAATAGATCGCGACCCAACATTTTGAAGCACTCAAATCTATTCAACAAAAAAACCTGCTGTAATATATACGCTTTTCAGCATACAATATTAATACAAGTGAAGTACAGTGCATATATCCCTTCACAGAACTAAAGCATGCTTTTAAAAAAGGTTTAATGAGATGATGGAATCAAAGCTGAACTATATAAAAGGGCACACATGCTGAAAACCCAACCCCAGCAGGGGGGTCTGGGGGGATTCTCCCCCAGGAGATTTTTAGAAATATTAACATAAACTATTCATTCTGGTACACTCTGAGAACGCCTGCATCCACAGCGTTAGAAAATCGGGCCTTCAAAATAAAAGTTTGACTTTTGCCCCCCCCAAAAAAAGAAAGAATTCCAATTTTTTTTTCTTCACTCACACATCCTCGACCCACTCGAAACGGGTCCGCGACCCACTCGAAACGGGTCCACGACCCACCAGTTGAGAACCACTGACACAACACATTTATAGTATTCCAAGTCATAAACATCTCTTTTATTTTCCCGCAGCAAATCAAGCGTGAGCTGCTGGACTCGCAGCAGAAGGCCTCGTCTCTGCAGGAGCTGTCCTCTCAGCTGCTGGTGGACACTAAAGCCTCGGAGCAGATCCAGAGTCAGGGCAGCGAGTGTCTGGAGGCGCAGGAGAAGGTGCACGTGATCCTGAACCGACTGAGGCTGCTGCTGAGGGAGGTCAGCGGAGACCTGCAGGGGCTGGAGAGGAGGCTGCAGACCCCCGCCACGCGGCAGGTCAGGAAACGCTCAAACAAGAGGGAATGAATGAGGGGGTTACTTATTATACTCAAACTAAATCTTCCTTACCATAAATACTAGCCAAGAGAGTTAGCCAAGAGTCTATGTTCATCTGTGGAACCTAAACAAAATGAATTGTAGGAGAATAAACAAGTACAGTTTGGGTAAATGTGCTTTGTTATTTTTCACCAATGTCCATTAATAGCATAATTTTAAAACATAACGAATGTTGTTTTTATTTTTTTTCAGGATTGCCTCTCTTTGCCTGTTGGCCCATCAGAGATGTGCGGATCAGCTGCTGAGTCAGAGGTGACCGTGCACAGTCACAAACGCTTGGTAATGTTTCCCCTCCACGCTCGCTTTGATCCCCCAGTAGACATCTCATCTTCCAGATAATTATTTTTATAAAATATAAATGATTTTCCTTTTTTTTCGATTGCTGTGCTTACATGTAGATAGAAAAACAATTGTTGCTTCCCCCTCGTTTGTTTTTGGGATGTTTTTGCTGCACCATGTTGATCTGCCAAAAATATACAAGAGAACCTGGCTTTTCTTTTCTGTAATGACTCATATCTCATTTAAGAAGTAATGTATACAATTCATTATCTGTTTGTGTGTTTTATCAATATGTAACTAGTAGTTTTAAAATAATTCATTTTGTCAGTTTTTTGTACCTTTGCAGGATTAATTCTTGAGAAGCCAGATTTCTTGGTTCTGAAAGTCGATCAGCGTCATTGATTTTGTTGCTGATGTTATGGCTCCTTATGTTATTTGATTTTTTCTCATCTGAGGCTTTGTCTTCATTTGCCCTTGACTGAAACATTCTTTTCTTTCTTTCACCCCTCCCTGCTCATTGCGTGGTACAGCCCCGAGGCAAAAGTAGTCAGGCCCACCCCGGACCCCCTGAGAGCGGCCCGCGCCACAGGTACCTCTCTCCTGGACTCTGGAAACACGGAGGATGATGGAACCACAGCTACGCCTGACTAGAAACTTGATTTTTATAAACTCAACCCATGAGAAAAATCAATGACTCAGATCAGACTGATTGTAAAAGATATTAGTAGATGATTTAGCCTTTGATTGATTAGTTTTGAGGCTTTAACCCTGCGTTCCATGATCCTTCCTCATTCTAGAGACCATGTTACCAGCTCTTAAACGAGGGGGGACTCGCCTTCATCAGGCCGCTCCCTTCCTCCTTTAAATGTTTTATTTCACTGCTTCTCTTTGCCCTGCTGCTTTTTGAATGGCATCATGGAATATGGCCTTGTCATACGTTTTGCTTCTCCTCTCTGAGTGACTGCAGCCCTCTCCTCGCCCACTAGATGGCGCTATCTGACCCCCCCCCTCCTCAGCTCTGTTTATCTGTCTTTGTTTCTGATCATAGTTGAAAGCAGGATGTGATGCAATAACTCCTGCGTCTTTCCCCCTCTACCTTAACTCCCACTTTCTTTCCTGTTTCCTTTCCAGACCTCTTAAATGACCCACCTCTGCCATTTCTGATTTCTATCATTTCCATTACATGCCAACAACAACACAGGCCTGGTGAAGACTCAGCCTAAACTAGTCTGGCCTTATTGTGGCAGGAATAATCTCTTTGTTCCCCCCTGGTAGTATCCTTTATATAAGGGTTATCATCACGTATGAATGGGCTGCAGAAACTAAAACTCGCCACACACAGACACATCGTGCTCATAGCAGCCGTGTTTTAGCATCTAGCAGACTAAATGGAGTTGGCAGAGTGCGAGGCTGGAGGAGTGTCGGCGTGTCTGACCTCCTGCAGCCTCCTGGAGGATGAGCCGCACTGAGAACATGATGTTCCTCCCCTCGAGTCTTGGCTCGAAACGTGGAAATCTCCAGAGAGGCATTTGGCATTTCTCCTGCGTCTGTTTGGACGAGACGTGCCATTGAACTCTCACACACTCGGCTCTAAATCCAGAGTGTTTCCTCCAGTGAGACACAGCATATCTGCGAGTGATGGCTGTTTTTTAAAGTGTGTCTGTGCCTGTGGTGTGTGTGTGTGTGTGTGTGTGTGTGTGTGTGTGTGTGGGGTGTGTGTGTGGGGGGGTGTGTGTGTGTGTGTGTGTGTGTGTGTGTGTGTGTGTGTGTGTGTATCTCTCTGTTCAACTGTGTGACTGTCAATCTCTCTAACGGTTGGATCTATTTTCTGCATTTTCCTTCCTGTCGAGTGTTTCTTCAGTCGTTATTTTTTTGTCAGACATGGGTTAAATAGTTTTTGCAAAGATGTTTCTTTAAACCCACTTGAAAGTCAGAACTACTATTATTGTGAATACAAATGATTTTAACAATCATTAACAAGTCATTATTACAATATTTTCTCAGTTAACTTTTAGTCGATAGATTGGCTGGAATTTGTCAAATAAATCAAAAAGATTAACTGAAAAAGTCTTAGTTTGATCATCGTGCGCTTCAGATTCAAGCACATGAGGTTGGAGTGTTCTTCAGAATTAATGCGAGCACACAAACCTTGAATTTTAACTAAATAAAAAAAGCTATCAAGTGTTTTTTTACGAACCATGATTTACAAACACTAGTGGACTCAGGTATGTTCTCGGCTGTGTTTAACTCAACTCTGTGTCTCCCTGCAGCCGAAGCAAATCCCCCGGCGCCGCTGGCTGCGTTTCCTCCCGTTCTGACCTCCAGGATGGCGTCTCCTCCTCCTCTTCCTCCTCCTCCTCTAAAGGCCAGTCCTTCCTGCTGCGGGTCCTCAGGGCTGCGCTTCCCGTCCAGCTGCTCCTCCTCTTCATCATCGGCCTGGCCTGCCTGGTGCCCATGACGCAGGAGGACTACAGCTGTCACCACGCCAACAACTTCGCCCGCTCCTTCCATCCAATGCTGCGCTACACCAACGGACCTCCGCCCATATGAGAAGCAGCCGATCATCTACCTGCTGCTTTGCCAAGGACTCCTGAATGTCTCCTCTTCTCCTCGTGCCCTAAAGCAACAAACTCTTCTTTGCATCATGAAGTGACTCAGAGGTGATATGAAGACTCCCCTATCTAACATTGCACACTCACCTCAACCCTTTAAACCCCCTGCAGAATACATGGAGCTTCATCTGGAGACCCCATCTCCAAATAACACTTTTAACTTTAATGTGTACATTATTTTATAAAGTTTTCTGAACAAATCTGAGAGATCAATGAAAACAAAGCACTATTTATATACTGTATGTATGTTGGGAGCCAAAGTCCACCGTGCTTTTTGTCCATGATATCCAGAGCTGCTACTATTTATTTAGCGTTCAATCAATTATTAGATTGTAAGTTTTGATGAAGCACCACCCTGAGAGTGGGGTATTGTACCTTTTAAATTGTACAGTGGACCTGCAGCTTGAGTAGCAATCACTCACAGCCTCTGAAGTTTGTCTCAAAAGACACATTTGAAGACAATGCAACGACGGAAACAGGAGTGCTTTCTGAAGGATGATCCGAAGTTTCTGCTTGAATTTGGAAAAGAAGTCGACGTTACAGCAAAACATCTGAACCTATAGCACTGTCGAAGGTACTGCACTGAAGCCGTCCAGCCAAGATGGCCGACTTCTTTCCCCAAAAGCCAACGCTTGAATTCCTGTTTTTAATTTCAGTTTTTAATCAAGGAGGGCAAATATTTTAAACGAGTTATGAGCTCTCAACTGATTTGTATATTTTTGTTAAAATGCCTTCATAAAGGCAGTTATTTTTGTATCTTTCTGTTTGAGCATGAACTTCAAAGTCCCTGCTTTTAAGAAAGCCAAACAATCACTGGTAGTTTTAGTAGACGGCTGCGACAGGAAACAGTGAGCTTTGTAATAACTGCGATAATTGTTCTGCGGTGATGACGAGACATTGGAATCACTGCGTTGGTAAAACAGAATCTGTAAAAACTGATCAAATATTAAAATGGTTATTTATGTATGTACAGTTTGCTAATGCTGACTTCATGAAGAATACTCTTTGCAAATAATAAAACATAAAATATTTACTGCTGTGTTCTTTACTTTGAGATTCCAACAATGACAAACAATATTTTCCCATTTAAAGCTTTTATTTTTGTGCACAGTAAACAAATGACAGACAGTTCAAGTTTGACTGGATTTACACTTCACAGCTAAAGTGGCCAAGTCCATCTTTTGTAATACTGTATAGAGGCTTTTCATCTTCAAGATTTAAAAACACAACTACACTGTAACGCTAACTATGTATTAGATCCTGGTAGCATGATTTTTAACAGCTAAAACAAAACAAATAGATTAGGCGATCAACAGGAAATGAATCCACACATTTTTAGACAACATATTTCTTAAGCAAAAATGCTGAACTAACTAATCTCAGAGTAGACGATTGGATGCTTATTCGCCATTTGAGCAGCATATTTTCAGTTTAGGATGCACCCCTAGCCACAAAATAAGCCTATGGATGTGTTGCATAACGTTCATAGACAATTCAAATTGTTGGAGGAACAGAAAAACCTATTTGAATAAGTACATTTGGGCACATTTTGCACACAAAAATGTTATAATGACACAAGCAGTGTAAAAAAGTTGATAAAAACGTGAACATTTCTTTTTTGAAGGTGTGTAAATCCAGCCAAATGCAACATGTAATCAATGAATAGCTGATGAGCAATAATCAGTGGTAGCTTAAGTGTATGAAAATATTGAACAACTGCACCAAGACAAAATGCATCATATCAGCTCAGTCTCTCTGCCCCCACACACACACACTAAGCACACCAAGCACACAGAACAAACATTACGTCTTCACATTAAAAGCTTGGTAAGGGCGTTTCCCAGCAATGAATTTGGCTTCCTTCAAATTTGTATAACTATTTTATCATGCATTTGTTGTTATTCCTAACCACTGGCAACTCATTGAATGTATTTTTCCCAAATATATCAAAGTTTAACATTTTGTGTGAAATCACAATACCTGATGCTTAGTCCTCAAAATATTTGAATTTAAAAAACACAATAAATTACACATTCACCTTCCCATCATAGTTTAGTTAGTGTGTCATCTTAATATTTAAAAGTAAAAATAATGCCCGATAGCCCCTTAATCCCCAGAGGAAGTGCACTTTGGTCAAATGAAAAATAAAATTAGCTGCCCGTCATTTTAAAGCTAACAGAGTGCCAATAAGCTGCACTGTAAAGCTGTTAGACTAAATCACAGATGCTGCATTGAGCTCATATGTTGGTGAATTGGAGCAGTGCAAAGGAGACTTTTCATTTATAAATAATTATCTCGTGAAAATAATAAACCATTAATAAACCCTTTTTTTGTTCCCGATCCACAACGGCTCTCACACAGTCATCACCCATCAGAATGACCTCAGACCTTCAGGCAGTGCTCTCTCTCTCCCCCTCTCTCTCTCTCATAGGATGGGGGTGCAGTCCGAGCGGGAGCCCCCGTACTGCAGGACTGTCGGGGCTCTGCTGGCGCTCTCATTGCAGATTCGTGGTCCTCCTCCACTGCCGCTGGGGAGGGGCTCTCCGTCAGTCGGGGTCCAGGGCTGGCCTGGTCTGTCGGGGCGGTGCAGGCGGTGAGCGTCCAGCATCTCCAGCAGCAGGTCGTACAGAGGCACCTTGTTCTTGCACTTCATGCTGTAGAGGTGCTCCATCCCTTTGTTGCTGCGGGGGGGGGGATATGGGGAGATGAGGAATAAGAGAATCAGTCCGACAATCTGGGAAGCTCTGTTCCATTTTACATTACATTACATGTTACTTGTTGTTGACTCTTTTATCCAAAGCGACTTACATACTCAATACTGTGGACAACCCCCACAGGAGCAATTTGGGGTGAAGTGTCTTGCCCAGGGACACAACGACATGCTGACTGCAGTGGGGTTTGAACCTGTGCTACCCTGATCCGAACACCAACGCACTAGTCCACTGCGCCACAGCTCCCTACACAGTTTATTCTTTATTTGTTTCTTTGATTGCCTGCCATGACCTGCCATGAAATGTATAGATTAATTAGTTGTTTAGTTGCTTTTTATAAAATACTGGAATTTGAAGTAATATGAAAGCAGTGGCATAAGGTAGAAGTATTTTTAAGCAGGAATTAATATATAATTAATATAATATCAATATAACGTTTAGATGGGTTGTTAGTGATAAGCAGGGTTTGGGCAAAATCAAATATCAGTGTATATTTGATTTTGGACAGATGGTTGTTGGTCATTAGTAATTTTAGTAAAAAATACAAATTGCCTATTTCTATTTATTCATTTAGTGGGAGTGCTGACACAGCATTCCAACTATCTGTTATGCTACTCACGAAATTCTTTATTATTTTACGCNATGTGTGCGTTTGTGTGTGTTGGAGGAGGGGCTCTGTAAGGAAGTGGCAGATTTCTTCCGGCTGTGTATTTTCAAATTCTAGCGCACTCGAGCTGGTTTCTCCAAAATGACCTACCCCACCTTTAAGTTGCTTTTTGATAAATCATTTATGGTTTTGGGTTTAATTTATGACTCTCTTATGACTGAGAATTATCTTGCAAAGCAAATGCATGTAATGAGGCTGGTGTATTTCTTCCTGTCTACAAATCAGCTATTTGTTAGTTTTTATGACTACTACTTTTCTATGACATTTTTTTATACTTTTGACGAAATACTATAATATGCCTTTTTTTCAACTTACTAAACTATGAAGTCTTTACATAAGTTTTCCTATTACCTGAAAGAAACGTTGTGGATATCTGAATCTTGATTCTCAACAGAACATGTCGAAAACTAGAGATTTTTGAAACGGTAAAAAAAAGCCCACTCTTCTTATTGAATCCCACCTCATGTGCCTGATGTGTGAGAGCAGGAGGAGCAGCTGGGCCTGTCGTCTGGACTGCTGTTGCACCGAGCCTCCTGATTGGCTGATGTGATGTATGAGAGCGTCTGTGATGGTGTCGAGCATGATCTGCACCGCCGCCGTGTCGTGGAGGGCCTCCATGGAGCCGGTGCAGAAAGAGAAGGCCCCTGACGGAGAGAAGAACATAAGATAACTGCAGTTTGTCAAGTTGCACACATGCGCTCACTGCAGAAGCATTCCGCCCACTCAGCAATCAGACGCTGGTCCGGCTCAGGCAGCTGGGCCAGGTCATCCTGTTGGTATTTCAGTCTGCTCCGTTTCTCTTGTAAAACATCTCAATCTCTGGGACAAACAGAGCCATGTGTGCTGCATCATGTTGTCATGGGAACAGTTATCGGGCATGTTGAGGGTACACGGTGCTGCCTAATGCGTCTGAGTAGCGCTCAGAGCTTCACCTGGTGGGTGTTCAATATTTACTGTCGGGAACACAAATGGAAACCTGTTACAAAACTGTGGGAGGAAAGATTAAAGCTTATGAGTATATTTTAATTAGAGAATTGACTCTGCTGTCTTCTGTCAGAGGGGAATGGAAATATATAAACAAATCATCTCATCCAGGATCAAATGCTTGAAAACCACAAAACTACCTTGATAATCTTCAAAATATGCTCCAAACCCTAGAATTGGCACTGAAAGAGAAATCGTTTCCAGTATGTTGAGAAACAAATGTGTGTATTGCATCACAGATAGGAGGCATCATGAAGCAACATAACCAACATTGTGTCAGTGTTTTTTACTCATCTAGCATGATAGAGCTCTAGACAGCACTTTTAAGGCACTTGTGAAGATATTTAAAATGATCCGAATGTTGGAAATTCTCCCAAAACAACTCATTTGTAGTGTTTCTTCCCATTAAAACCTATATCGTTCCATCCCTACTGTCAGTGTTTCCAGGCATTAGCTGACATTCAATTCCTTTCCAAATGCTTTAGAAAGAGGTCACTAAAACTAAAACACACACACGCTCCTGTTGCCTCACCAGAGTTGAGCAAGATGATGGCTTTGAGACAGACAAACTCCTCGGGTTTGAGTTTGAGCAAGCGGAAGCGTGAAGCCGTCGCCAGCAGCATGTCGAAGATCTCCGCCATGCCTTCAACACAGTTTCCTTCGTTCCTGGGGAGAAGAATGACGCTAAGTGAGAGAGTTTTATTTGGAGTTTAGAATGTCCCTTTTCATCTGTATTTAAAAATCGTACAAACTGAGCTTAGTTCTGAGAAGTGACAGAAGAAAACCTGACTTCATCTGCCACCATTAAGCTATATCCAATGATACTCCAGTGATGGCCCAAATCATTGCAACACTCCAGTTGTGTGGACAGTTCAAAAGTGACAGAAAGATGGATAATATCCAGTGGTCGGAGTTCAAGATAAACTTGGACAGCACAGAGCGGAGGGAAATCATCCACTCTGACGCATAGCCATTCATTTGGTGAGGACACTCACACAGGGACCAGGTTTCAGAGACAAGACTCTGTAAACACTTTTGAATCAAATGGGACCTTCAGAGGCTAAAAGCTGTGTCTGTCTGCTGGTCTCCCTCGCCCCTCTCTGTCTCCCTCGCCCCTCTCTGTCTCCCTCGCCCCTCTCTGTCTGTCTCGCCCCTCTCTGTCTTCCTCGCCCCTCTCTGTCTGTCTCACCCCTCTCTGTCTCCCTGGCCCCTCTCCCTCACCCCTCTCTGTCTGTCTCGCCCCTCTCTGTCTCCCTCGCCCCTCTCTGTCTGTCTCACCCCTCTCCCACTGTCTGTCTCGCCCCTCTCTGTCTCCCTCGCCCCTCTCTGTCTCCCTCGCCCCTCTCTGTCTGTCTCGCCCCTCTCTGTCTGTCTCGCCCCTCTCTGTCTGTCTCGCCCCTCTCTGTCTGTCTCGCCCCTCTCTGTCTGTCTCTGTCTGTCTCGCCCCTCTCTGTCTGTCTCGCCCCTCTCTGTCTTTCTCGCCCCTCTCTGTCTGTCTCGCCCCTCTCTGTCTTGTCTGGCTTGCTTACTTTGAACACGGGGGACATGTAGGGAACAGACGGTGCCAGCAAAGCAGAAATCCATGTCTCATGCCTCACTACATCTCTATTTGTTCTCTATTGTCTGTTCATCATTTGGCTTTTTCTCCTCTGCCTCCTTACTAGTCATCTCTCTCTCCCTTCATCCTCTTCCATCATTTCCTGCATTGAGTCTTTGATTACATCTCTTTCTTGTTTTCCTCTGATGTAATGATGAGTATTTCATTTGAGAGAGAGGCTGCTCTCCTCTCTGTGGGGAGCCTGTCATTAGTAGTTCACTCTATAGCGGGCGTGTTGGGTGGGCACAATGGCTGCCAAGGTGTGAGATGGAGAATCTACAATGCTGAGATCTGTGTGAGAGTGAGGCAGAGAAATAGAGAGGAAAAGTGCAGCTAGATGAAACGTAAAGAGACGAGCAGCAGAGAAGAGGCGAGAGTGTTCCTGATACCTGTCCAGTATGAGGTCCTGAGCAAAGATGAGCTTCCCGGGGCAGTGGATGGACCTCCAGACGAGCCCGATCATCAGAACCTCCAGCCAGGAGCTCTCCAGCAGCTGCACCTGGTCATGGAGCCCCAGCTGCAGGAAGCCTACACACACACACACACACACACACACACACACACACACACACACACACACACACACACACACACACACACACACACACACACACACACACACACACACACACACACACACACACACACACACACACACACACACACACACACACACCTGTTTGAAAGCACCAAAGTGATCCCCAGCCAGAGTAGATTTAAAGGTTGCCTATTATGCAAAATCCACTTCTTCATGTCTTTTACACATCAACATGTGTCCCCTCTGTGTAAAGAGATTCTGAAAGTTTCA